GGTATATTTCTCCATCTGTTTGTGTCCTCTTTGATTTCTTTCATCAGTGTTTTATAGTTTTCTATGTATAGGTCTTTTGTTTCCTTAGGTAGATATACTCTTAAGTATTTTATTCTTTTTGTTACAGTGGTGAATGGTATTGTTTCCTTATTTCTCTTTCTGTTTTCTCATTGTTAGTGTATAGGCATGCAAGAGATTTCTCTGTGTTAATTTTATATCCTGCAACTTTTCTATATTCATTGATTCGCTCTAGTAATTTTCTGGTAGAGTCTTTAGGGTTTTTCTATGTAGAGGATCATGTTGTCTGCAAACAGTGAAAGTTTCACTTCTTCTTTTCCTATCTGGATTCCTTTTACTTCTTTTTCTGCTGTGATTGCTGTGGCAAAAACTTCCAAAACTATGTTGAATAGTAGTGGTGAGAGTGGGCACCCTTATCTCCATGTCCAGTTCCAACTGTTGCTTCCTGACCTGCATATATAGTAGATGCTAATTAGTTAAAATGACTCTTGGCACCAAGGTTACTACTATGAGACCCGTAAAATCAGTATAACACTTAAAGTTCAAAGTTAAGTATGAATTCTTTCCTTACTATTCTACCTAAGAACTCTTCAAAATGGTTATTCATGGAGCAGAATTTTCAGCATTAGTAGTTGAAATAAGCTTGCTAAAAATGTGGCACAATTGTCCCACTATAGAATGTTTGGATTGGAATATGTTTTTAAAAAATATTTCCAGTTTTTTTTTTTTTGATAGACAATTTATCCTGTGTCACATGAGTACAACAGTCAAAAACAAGTATGCCAATATTTATTTTTATAATTCTTGATTATTTTATAATTCTTCTTCCTAGTCATAATATTTTCCCTAGTAGTTTATGGGTCATATGTCATCCTGTTTTCTTGGGGCTAAAAATATGGTGAAGATACTACTGTGTAAAAATTGTATTCTTGTGTAATAGCAGACACTCTCCTAAAGGAAAACCAGGTCTCTGAGCTTGCTGTTTCCATGTTGGGTCACATAAGGAAGTCTTCCCATGGCCCCATAGCATCTGTGCTTTGTATTTCAGGGACTGCTGACCTTACAGGATGTGGCCATAGACTTCACTCAAGAGGAGTGGGAATGCCTGGACCTCAGTCAGCGGGACTTGTACAGGGACGTGATCCTAGAGAACTACAGGAACCTGGCCGCTTTGGGTGAAGACAACTTCCTTCCAGAATCGCTTACCTACTCACGAGATTTTGATTCCTTCATTTCTAGAATGTCTTCTGAAATTGTCTGCTTCCCACAGTGGTTTCAGTTCTCTGCTTTCTAGGGGGAGATGAGTGTCTGTGAGTTTAGAAAGAAAGGCTTCATGATGGTTTGCTATGCTGGTAAGCTTTTTCTTCCCTGATGTACTCTGCCTGTTTCATTCTAGGTGAGTGGTAATTCTATAAGTTCTGTGGTATTAAATAGTTGCACGCTCTGTTAATTTCACATTTACACACTTACTTTTGCCTTAGCAGCATGTGACTAAAATCTCAGGATTTGATTGTTATGTATTTGTTAGTGTTGTACAGGTGCTTTGAATAAAGTATTTGGGGAAATCATTTTCTCGGCTGTATTAACATTCTCCCATGCATTCTCGTCTCACCTGAATACATAGAGGACTCTACACGGATGAATCTCTAAAAACACAAATATTCCTTTCTCTGATGAACAGGACTTGTCGTCACTGGGCTGAATCTGGTCACATTTCTGGAGCAACTGAACGATCCCAGGACTATAAGGAGAATAGAGACAACAGCCATATACCCAGGTAGGTGTAAGTGGACTCAGATGAGAGGTCCAAGGAGCAGTGAGGAAGTCATCCTTTGTCAGGTGGTTTTGGAAGATGTGCCTCAGTGGAAATGATTTTGGAAAACCTGGGTTTATTTCTGCTACTGTCAAAGAAATGAGTCACCTGCCTCATTCTGTCTCTGAAATCATTCATGAATTAATCTCCAGTGATTTCTTTTTCCAATCACAGTGTGAACTAAACGTCTCCTCTTGACTTGGCACAAACTGCATTCCTTGGTTGCTCTTCCATTTCTTGGCAATCCTAGGAAAACTGTGCCATTTATGAGTAACTGTATGACGGTCCTTTTAAAGTTTCTACCTCTAGACAAAATGTGTGAGTGAAGTCATAGACAAACTGCTAAACTCCTAGAAATACTAGGGACAGGCCTTTGTTTTCTGATTTATAACTTCCTATCCACTGGGAGCTAGAGATAGGACCTACTAAATCAATTTGAAATTCAAGTAATTTTTTCACTGCAGAAAGCAAAACCTGCTGAACATCAAAGAATGCACATCTCAGGTTTACTTCAAAGTTTCTCTTTTCCTTATATGATTTCATATTAAATGTCTTAAGTGCATTTGTCCCCATTCTAAAATACTAAGTATGATAATATACTGAATTATCTCATCAAATTTTAAAATAAATTGGCATAGAAGCTTAGCACATTTTCCACCCATATTATTAATGGTTGGTTCCAACTATAAGAATTTCTAGATTATATACAGAAATCTTTTACAAGACTTCTAATTGGAATACAGATGTTTTATAATTTTGAACTATTGTACACCAAGAAGAATGAATAGTCAATAAAGCCAAAGCAGATGTTTTTATGAAACTCTCTTGCTTTTTCAGTGATCCAAAGGGTGTTGGCAATTTCATCACCGGTTCCTCTGCCTTCTCTAAATCCAGCTTGAAGATCTCGAATTTCTAAGTACACATTCTATTGAAGCCTTACTTGGAGAATTTGAGCCTGCCTTTGACAGTGTGTGACATAAATGCAATTGTGCGGTCTTTTTAACATTTTTTGACATTGCCTTTCTTTGAGATTAGAATGAAAACTAATGTTTCCCAGTCCTGTGGTCACTGCTGAGTTTTCCAAATTTGCTGGCATATTGACTGCAGCACTTTCACAGCATCATCTTTATGATTTAAATAGATCAGCTGGAATTCCATCATGTCCACTAGCTCTGCTGGTAGTGATGCTTCTTTAGACCCACTTGATTTCAGACTCCAGGATGTCTGTGTCTAGGTGAGTGATCACACCATCCTGGTTATCATAGTCATTAAGATGTTTTGTATCGGTCTTCCACATAGTCCTGACACCTTTTATTAAGATCTTCTGCTTTTGTAAGGCCCATTTCATTTCTGTCCTTTATTGTGCCCATCTCTGCATGAAATCTTACTCTGATATCTTTAATTTTCTCGAAGAGATCTCTAGTCCTTCCCATTCTATTGATTTCCCATTTAGGTCTCCACAGAGCAATGAGTAGAATTCCCAGTGTTTCAAGCATATTTTCAAAGTCTCTCATTTAATTTCTCAAGAAATTATTAAGTTTACCTTATGCATAATGAGCTTCTTCAGATATTTTCCTATAATAAAGTGTTCTTTATTCCATAAAGTGTCCTTCACTTTATGAATAGTTCTCTGTCCATATCGTTTATTAATTTTAGATTGAAGCATCTAATAGAACATTCTTGGAAATCTGTTTGACAAGAAGTGGATGAAATAGTTATTAGACAGCTAGGATTTGTGAAAATGTTTGGTGTCTCCACTTCATTTGACTAAAAGCAAGAAGTAATCCTTAGATTACCTATCTCCTCTTCATTTAGTGGTTCCTGCAGATTCTTAGCACGCATCTCCCTCTGTCACACATTTCTTTGCCATCTCATTTTGTCCAGTTTTCTGCTTGTAGTCTCTGTTTTGAAGGCTATGGGCACCTCGTTATTCATCCCTCTGGTGCCTGCACCTTGGTGCGTGAGATTGGTCCAGTGGTTTGTCCTCTGCTATATGGTGGTTCAGGTTTCTTCCACAAGCATCCTGTTTATAGAGCCCCTCCCTCACTCCCGTCCCATCAGGATGTCTCCTCACTACCGCAGTCCTCTGCCAGGGGCTGCGCTCTGAACCCCACATTTCAGCCCCAGCCCTTGTCTGCAGCGGTGGGCGTGCCTCTCAGGCTGGGTGGGCAGGGCAGGGGTCATGACCTCGTGTGCAGGTCTCACCCTGTCCTGCTGCCACACGCGGGTTGCAATGTTCTCTCACACAGAGAATGAGGCTCTCCTTCTGTCCAAACTGAGCTCCCCGACGAGGGCCTTCCCTGGATGTGGAGACCGCTCACTTTCATGTCCCCCCAGGTTGCAGGCCCCATCCCACTTCCTGTCCTCTTCCTTTTCCTTCTTCTTTCTCTTGTCCTACCTGGCTCAGTAGGAGTGTATCTGTCCTTGTAGATTTCCAAGGACCTCTGCTAATGTCCATCTGGTTTCTGTGAGAAGAGTTCCGTTTCTGATGTATTCTTTTTTTTCTTTTTTTTTTTTCTTTATTAGTTGGAGGCTAATTACTTTACATCATTGCAGTGGTTTTCTGATGTATTCTTGATGCCTTTGTGGAGAGAGAAGAATTCCATGTCCTCCTAATCCTCTGGCATGTTTATCCTCCCTTCTCTATTTCATTTTTGAACTAATGAAAAGTTCATCAGTTTTCTCTAAATCTTTAAGGATATTCCCTGGTAATAGCAGGTAAAATTACTTATTATTTGCTATCTTTCAGGTGTGTCTCCACAAAACACTGTGATTTGATGCCACAGAAACCAAGGATAAAAGATTTGTATCCAAAAGCAAATCTAGGAATATGTGAAACATTTCACCTCAGAAATTTCAATTTAATAAAACACTGGGAATATAGGAGGGCATATGAAAGACAGACATGTTTATATGGACATAAAGAAATTGAGACAGTGACACATAAGGCAAATATTGCAAAAAGAAATGAGCAACATGAGTCAAATTGTGGAAAACACCAATTTCACTCTTCAATATCTGCTGAGAAGTTTTTAAGAAAAGATTCACCTTACCTTGAGAAACATACATGTTCTCTAAAAGGAAACGTGGTATATTTGGAAGGTGATTTAGTCTCTACTGCAAATACTCAAACAATTCTGAACATGGCCTTCATTTAAACATAGGTTCAAGCATGTCTGAACACCTGAAATTTAAAAAACAGGGACAAAACTCACAATATACTCAATTTGAGGGATCTGTGAGCAGGAAGTCATTATTCTTCCAGCAAAAGATATTTCCTCTCCATTCCACGATGTATAGTGTTGATGATAATGCAGGAGATGTACTCCGTCATTGTTCAATGTTCGTCATGATATAGCTAATAAGGAACAGTTTTCCACGTGTAATAAAATTTGTCAGGCCTTAGGTAAGAGCTCGAGCCCCAGTAATTATAAGGGTATTTATGGTGGATTGAGATGTTATTCAAGCAATCAGACTGGGTATGAGGTTGAAGGAGAGTCAAACCTTATGAAACATCAGGGACCCGAATCTTCACACAGGGATTCTTAAAGTAATAAATGCAGAAATATCTCTTATCAGATGTCAGTTCTTTCTCTAAAGAGTATTCACACCAGAGAAAAGACTTGTAATTGTAGTGAATATGGTAAAGCTTCTAATCAGTCTTCAGAACTTGTACAACAGCAAACTATTCAAAATTCACAGAAAGAAAACCAATGTAAGATACTTAGGAAATTCTTTAGTACCTCATTCAATCTAAGTAGACATAGGAAAATTCATGCAGGAAAGGCATCTTTCAAATGTACAGAATGTGACACAACATTTGTCCGTCACTCACTTCTTACTCAACATCAGCTTACTCACACTTGAGAGAAATGTTCTAAATGTTCAGAATGTGGCAAAGCCTTTATTGCGAGTTCAAATCTTAGTAAACATCACCGAATTCATCTGGGGCAGAAGCGTTATAAGTGTACAGAATGTGGGAAGTCCTTCATGAACAGTAGAGTTCTTACTAGACATCAGCGAATTCATACTGGGGAGAGACCGTATAAGTGTATAGAATGTGGCAAAGGCTTTAATGACAAACCAAAACACACTAAACATCTTCGAGTTCATACTGGAGAGAAACCTTATAAATGTACAGAATGTGGCAAAGCCTTTAATCAGAAATTCAATCTTTCAACACATCTGCGAGTTCATACTGGAGAGAAACCGTATAAATGTACAGAATGTGGCAAAGCCTTTAATCAGAACGTCAATCTTATTGCATATCTGCGTGTTCATACTGGAGAGAAACCATATAAATGTACAGAATGTGGAAAAGCCTTTAATTAGAAATCAATTCCCACTACACATCTGCGAGTGCATACTAGAGAGAAACCGTATAAATGTACAGAATGTGGCAAAGCCTTTAATCAGAAATCAATTCTCACTACACATCTGCGAGTTTATACTGGAGAGAAACCTTAAAAGCATGAAGATTGTGGCAAAGGCTTTAGTCATAGTGGTCATCTCACTAAACAGCTGAGAACACACACCTGGGAAGAACACTAGGAATGGAAGTAGTGATGAAAGGTTTGTCATAAGCATGCATCAGAGAACTTGCGAGTTTATAAAAGAGACCTGTGAAAATGATGTAACAAATATGTAAAAACATATTTAATCAAAAGTCAAATGTAAAGAAACATAAGAGACTGCATATTAGAAAGTATTCCATCAATCCTCTTTTCTGAAGTTTCTCTGAAGAAGAATTACTGTAGGGAGTACTCCATAGTTAAAACTCACAGAAAATGGATATATTAGTATGAATCATAGATGTGGATTGATGGTTAGAAAGTTAGAATTATTAGCAACGTATGCTTGTTTATAATGATGTGACTTGAGATTATTAGAAGTGAATGTAATTCAATGCTCAAATAATCCATACTATGCTTTGCTTTCATAGTGTGTATGCAAACATAAGTTTTTTTTTTTTTTTTTGGATGGTTTATGCTTGAAAGATTGGCCTTTTCATATTGTTTTGCAACCATTTCTATCTATTCTCTATTAGAAGATGAAGGATACCCTAATGTAAAATGGACAATGGACATCTAAATGGAGGTGTTTGTCATTGATGTGAAATATCGGGAGGTTGCCATGATGTAAGTGATCATGGAATGTCTTCAAGTATTAAAGGAAGACAGAAGTTGGTTATAAATTTTCAATAGGTCTATCAATTGATTTGAAAGAGGAACACCGTCACAGTTCACTATAATACTGATGTACCTTTATAATTTCACCATAAGTCATGAATTACTTGACAGTGTTGCAGTAAAGACAGCGTCAGTGATAACCTAGAAATGTATTGGAAACCCTTCCTGGAAAAGGCAATTAGTGTGCATCGTGTTTGCTAATTGTTTCCTAGGCTTTGTTTGTACACCACAAAAATCAGAAAAATAAATATCTTTCTCTGTACTTTTGATATGTATTTAATCATGGATCATACCATGGATTATTAAAGGTTTCATGTCAACTATGTGTGAAATCCATACAAGGCTATTAGTAGAAGTGAATGGTTTTTAGTGTTTCAGTTGGTTGTAATGAATGAAGTGTTAACCCACAACCAACAGTAACCTTCACAAGAAACTATGGAAAATTCTTAGAAAGATGGGAATACCAGATCACCTGACCTGCCTCTTGAGAAATCTGTATAGAGGTCAGGAAGCAACAGTTAGAACTCCACATGGAACAACAGACTGGTTCCAAGTAGGGAAAGGAGTACGTCAGGTGTGTATATTGTCGCCCTGTTTATTGAACTTATATGCAAAGTACATACTGAGAAATGCTGGGCTGGAAGAAGTACAAGCTGGAATCAAGATTGATGGGAGAAGTAGAATAACCTCAGCTATACAGATTACACCACCCTTATGGCAGAAAACGAAGAAGAACCAAAGGCTTTCTTGATGAAAGTGAAAGAAGAGAGCCAAAATTTGGCTTAAAGCCCAGTCTTCAGAAAACTAAGATCATGGCATCTGGTCCCATCACTTCATGGCAAATAGATGGGAAAAGAGTGGAAGCAGTGGCAGGATTTATTTTTTGGGGCTCCAAAATCATTGCAGATGGTTACTGCAGCCATGAAATTAAAATATGCTTACTCCTGGGAAGAATAGTTATGACCAACCTAGACACTATATTAAAAAGCAGAGACATTACTTTGCCAACAAAGCTATGTCTAGTCACCACTATGGTTTATCCAGTAGTCATGTATGGATGTGAGAGTTGGACTATGAAGAAAGCTGAGCTCCGAAGAATTGATGCTTTTGAACTGTGGTGTTGGAGAAGACTCTTGAGAGTCCGTTGTACTACAAGGAGATTCAACCAGTATATCCTAAAGGAAATCAGCCCTAAATATTGGAAGGACTGATGTTGAAGTTGAAACTCCAACACTTTGACCCCATGATGGAAAGAACTGATTTAATTGAGAAGACCCAGAAGATTGAGGGTGGGAGGAGATGGCACAACAGAGGATGAGATGCTTGGATGGCATCACAACTCAATGGGCATGAGTTTGAATAGACTTCGGAAGTTCGTGATGGACTGAGAGGCCTGGCCTGCTGCAGTCCATGGGGTTGTAATGGGTTGGACACGACTGAGCATCTGAACTAAACTGAATGAAGAAAGAGACAGTATTCTTGACTGGAGACCTCCACGGACAGAGGAGCCTGGCCGGCTACAATACATGGCGTTGCAAAGAGTCTGACATGACTGATCGACTAAGCAGAAAATTGTCAACTCTATACACTGTTTCTATTAAAGACAGATGAAACCCATAGTTTTAATTTATTTTTATTAATCATGGAGCTGCTATTGGCACACATATAATAACCCTAAAATGCATGATTTTTATAAGGTAGTCCATGATTTCAGATCTATCTATGCAATTCCAGTCACTAGTTACATTAAACATCAGGTTTCATATGGCTTGGATTCAACAGTAACAATCACTGTCACAAAAATTACACTGTGACTTCCTTGGTGGCCCAGTAACTAAGACTCCTCATTCCCATTGTGGGTGGCGAGTGGGGGAGGTTAGGTTTGGAGGCCTAGGTTTGATCCCTCGTCATTGAACTAGATCCCATGTTCTAAAAGTAAGATCCGGCACAGCCAAATAAATATTTTTTCAAAAAGAATTGCACTAAGATACTTTAGGAGGCATTGGGAACTGACATCTGGTGTAGTAGCTAATCTCTCTTTAATAGCTCCATTGAAATTTTAGCATTATTCCTCCTTCCCGTGTTGCTTTGGCCCTGGATTAATTTGAGTCAGAACACTTTCTTTTTCCTGTATGTTCACCAACCCTCTCCAAAGCACCTGTTTCTTGCAGATTCTTGCCCTCAGGCTGAAACAGAAACTACTCACTTGACGTCCTCCCATTCCCAGATAGTGGGTTCTTGGTTTTGGACACAGCAAGCTGCCCCTGTCACAGGGAGGAAGGCAGCCAGACCCCTAGATAAGGGCTTGTGATCCTGTGATTCACGTCCCCTCAGAACTGCTATTATCTTTTCACCTGTAGCTTCGATGTGACACAGGCATGGGGAACTGAGATTGTATGTGAAAACCTTTATTGCTCAGTTGCTAGTGATAAAACAATAATTGAAAGTTTATGCTGATCATCTCCAAAGAGACTATTGAAATGCATGAGGAAGGTTGTATTCCCCTTGGTCCCTGGAGACAGATAGGGATTCACAAGGAACAGTAGGAAACACTGAGGTCTAAGAAAGGAAGGGAATTTCATGTGTTTGCTTGTGTAGTTTGTCTCCATGAGACGTCTTTCTACCAAAAATTAGTTGACTACTGAACTGTGCCTCCCTTTAGATTATGAGTAGTGAAATAGAGCCAAAGTACCTGAGAAGGATTTTCAATTTGAGGGATTTTCAAAATGAGAGGAAATTTCTCTGTAAAGTAATTAGCCTCCAACTAATAAAAATAAATGAAAAAAAAAAAGAGAGGAAATTTCTCCATCTATCATTTTACGGAGATGAAATTTTCATACTGCATTGCCTGAAATGTCATACAACTTCTCAAGAAGCATCTTGAGGCAAATACTCCCTGTGTATACTGTTAGGACTCAATGTCTGTTAGACAGAAATTCCCCCGTGATTCCCACTGTAGTCTGCAAGAGCAGGTGCACCTTAGTGCCAACTCCCTAGAGAATGTTCTCCTAGGTCTTAGTGACCACAGTCATATTCAGAACCAGAGGTTCCAGCAGGCAACCGTGAGATTTGAGCTATTGACACTTTAATCATGAAAATCAGTATCCATATGCCCTACTTAGAATTTGTCCCCACTCACAGATACTTCAGAAACACATTTTCGATTTTGTTCACAGCCCAATGCATTTGGGATCCTAGTTCCCCCGCTAGGGAAGGAACTGCAATCACTGCATTGGAAGGTGGGGTCTTAACCATTGGACCACCGGGGAAGTTCCTAAACACGTTTTCTTTAATGAGTAATTTATTAACTTGACATACATTTACCATTATATTGTACTGATTAATGCTTTCTGTGTAAGGAATGATTAAATCTTCAACTCTGAGATCTTAGGTCCCCCACCAGGCATTGAAGGCACATAATCTGCATTGGAAGGAAGCACAGCATCTTAACCACTGGACTACCAGGAAAGATGCTAACCTCACATTTAAGGAGAAAGATGTACTCTCTTGGGATCCAATCGTCTGTGGCACTCTTTTATTCCTGTCTTGTTTGCTGTTCTCCAGGATATCCTTTCCCTGATTGGGTGAGGAGAAAGAGGTTAGGAAAGAAAGCCAGCAGGGGGGACGGTTCTTGGGAAGGGAACTGCACAGCAGTTGAGGTGTTCGACGCACCCCAGAGAGCTAGTTTCCTGCCCAGCTTTAGCATAAAAAGTCCTGCTTCTTGGAAACTTGTTCAGTCCTGGTAGAAGGAGGGCAATTGGTTGCTTCAGCAGCAACAGCACCAGCAACGACAACAATTACCAGAATAGTCTTTGTATCAGCAGAATGTGGCAGGAGTAACAGCATATCATTTCTGTGATTATGTTATAGATGACACTGGATTCCGGTCTCCCTCTTTCTTTGTGGAATCACTTCCTAAGGGAAAAGCCAGCTGCCTCGTTGTAAGCAGGTCTCTGGTTACAATTACTGAGGCTTCCTCCCAACGGATCATCTGAGGGGTTATATTCAACTTTTCACGACTTCCGAGACACCCATCTTCACACACTTGCACAAAGAGCTGTTCAATTTTGCCTTTGTTCAACTTGCTGAAAACATCTCGGCTTCCCATTGAGGTGGCTCTCAAAATTCTTTCTCTTTTGCCTTAGGTTGTGTGAAACACTAAGTTAGAACAGGCAGGAAGCGCCTCTGCTCCAGAGGAAATCAAAGAGATTTAAAGGCAGCGAAAAGCAGAGAAAGGAAGCACAGTTGGGCAGAAGGACCAACAGAGCCCCAAACTGA